TATATTTATTTATTTTTAAATATATTGAATACGGCCAACATTGTAGCATTTCAATTATATGGCAATATATTTGGGAAGAATATTTTTTAAATATATTTAAAATATATTTTTCTTCCATACGGGAGGCAATTATAGGAATAATGGTTCCTTTAGTCTTTGGTAGGGAAGGACGTGGAGTGAAGACGAAAGATGGTAGGAGTAAAAAGTGGAACAGGAAGAAGAAAAAGAAAAAGGAAATAGTAGGAGGTGACTGGTCGGGGGGGTAGTCAATATGTAAAATTTGTTTGGAATTTGAGATTGCAAAGTTTTGAAAATGTGTTTTATTTATAATGTAAAATGAATGAAAATGTAGTAAAAATAAAAAGAATCAAAATTCAGATCCATTCGTTATCCGAATCCAAATGATCAAACAAATTCAAAATTGAATTCCTTTCCCCACGAGCCTGAACTAATGTCGCATCGGATGCAGGGGTGGACTGACAACTCATGGGGCCCCCGGGCAATACTGGATCATGGGGCCCCTGTGTCCTTGCCCAAACTCAAAAAAGCCTATGAGGTACCAGGGGCATCTCATGGGGCCCCTACTGACCCCGGGCCCTCGGGCAGTGCCCGAATTTCCAAATGGTCATTCCGCCCCTGATCGGACGTCATCCAAATGAAATGCATTTTTTAATTTCGGTAGAACTTTTTTTTTGGATTAGTTGACATTGGCTACTATGTCTATTTGGAGATCACAGAAACACAAATTTCATCAGAAAAAGGAATCGAAATGCGTATTTCTAATCAAAGGCAACAGAAAGGTCTGAGTATGGGTGCAGAGTGGTGGCCATTGGTGTTAGCAGTTGGTAACCCGTTGGTTTTAGGAGGGCAATGTCAAAGGAGGTAAAACTAAGGGGGCAAGAAAGTTGTTCTCAGTGATGGTTGAGGACAAGGTCTTCAAAAACTTTGGAAATACACAGGAGTAAGGAGATGGGTCTTGGGTTGTTCATACTGGTTGGGCCCATTCAGGGTTTTTTAAGTATGGGGGTGACCAGAGCATGCTTTATAGGGATGGAGAAGATGCCAGTAGAGAGGGAGAGTAAAGATGTTGGGGAGTGGAGTTTTCCAGAAGGTGCAAGTGGCCTACAGTATCCAAGGCTAAATGTGACAGCTTCCTGTTGAGGGCAAACTTCCTAACAGCCAATAGGGTATGGCAACCGACCCTATACTGGTGGGACCCATTCAGGGTTTTTTAAGTACGGGGGTGACCAGATCATGCTTTATAGGGATGGAGAAGATGCCAGTAGAGAGGGAGAGTAAAGATGTTGGGGAGTGGAGTTTTCCAGAAGGTGCAAGTGGCCTACAGTATCCAAGGCTAAATGTGACAGCTTCCTGTTGAGGGCAAACTTCCTAACAGCCAATAGGGTATCGCCACTGGCCCTATACTGGTTGACATTTAAAAAAAAAAATAGCATCACCCCCAATTTCTACTATATATGACAAAATGCAGCACTAGTTATCAAATATTCAATATAATGTATCACCGAGTAGTAATTTATAAAAAGCTAAATTTAATAAAAGGTATTGCACTTACAAACATCCAAATACGTTTGGCATAAAAAATATCAGGGAATGTTTCCCAACCAGCAACATGGCCGCGATCCGTAACGCGATGACGTCATCTGACGTGTTTCGTCATGAAAAAACATCAGGGGCCCCTAATTTCTATATCCGACGTCTTAACCCGTTGCTCCAGACGACGCGTTTTGACATGAAAAGCCGTCATATGGGGCCCCTAATTTCTATATCTGACGTCTTAAGCCGTTGCTCCAACCGACGCGTTTCGTCATGAAAAGACGTCATCAGGGGCCCCTTAATTCCTATATCCGACGTCTTAACCCGTTGCTCCAGCTGACATGTTTCGTCATAAAAAGAAGTCAGGGACCCCCAATTTCTATATCTGACCCTTTGGGTCTGTTACGGATTTTAAAGAGCAAAGCAAAAAAACCCCAAGAAATCCTAACATTTTCCCCTAAATTATTGCCAGAGCCTGATCAGAACTTGCAACCTTGCTGGCCAGGAAACAGGGAAAAAAATCATACCCCCCCCATCCTTTCTGAAACATACCAGGCCACATGGTGCCAACATCAAGAGGGTTTAAATGCCAAAGGGGACACCCCTGGGAAAGTAACTAGTCCCCATTTTGATGAGGACAAAGACCTCTTGACCACAACCTTAGATGGTAATTTTGGGGGTCTTTGTGCAGGGAATTGTGGATGGTCCCTTTAGAAAAAGGGGGCCCCCCAGATGGGAAAAAGGGGTACATTGTACAATTTAAAAAGGCAGAAGAAGGATCCTAGTTATCATTTCAGCTCTAATGTTAAAAAAAAGAGGCTCCCAGACCCCAAGAATCATAGCAAATGCTAAACAGCCCATATTAAAAATGTTCCAACTGGTGGGGACCATGGTTCTTCAACCTACTGACCTTCATATTACCTCCTGATATCCTCTTCCTATCATTGTACAACCAATCCAGATCATTCTCTCATCAATGTTATCTGTCTACAGGGAAACCTTCATAGATGACGGCACCAATGAGGATGGAGGAGGACCACAGTCACATGACTGAGAGGATACTAAACCTCACCCTGGAGATCATCTACCTGCTGACCGGAGAGGTGAGGAGGATTCTGGGAGGTCACATGACATCACTCTCATCTCTATTAATAAAACACAGACCTGACCGGAGAGGTGAGGAGGATTCTGGGAGGTCACATGACATCACACAGACTTGACCGGAGAGGTGAGGAGGATTCTGGGAGGTGACATGACATCACACAGACTTGACCGGAGAGGTGAGGAGGATTCTGGGAGGTCACATGACATCACTCTTATCTCTATTAATAAAACACAGACCTGACCGGAGAGGTGAGGAGGATTCTGGGAGTCTAACATGATGTTCCTATTGGTTCCCCAACACAGAGATTTCCTCTTCTGAAGTCAGGTGATCATATGACCATCACAGTGCCTCCATGTGACTCCCTAAACCCTGAGAGACACAACATGCAGAAGATTCTAGAAGTCACCAAGAAGATGATGGAGCTGCTGACAGGAGAGGTGAGCGGTGCCGGGAATTCTGGGACATTCTCCAGTAACAGACAAGGGATGTGTCTGGATGGTGACTGTATCATTGTGTGTGTCAGGTTCCTATAAGGTGTCAGGGGTGTCACTGTCTATTTCTCCATGGAGGAGTGGGAGTATTTAGAAGGACACAAGGACCTCTACAAGGACGTCATGATGGACAATCAGCCGTCCCTCACATCACCGGGTAAGAGGAGACTTTATTGGAAAGGAGAGAGCAGTACGGAGGGTCCACCTAGATCCCCCATCATCTGATAAACACATAGAAACAATGGATTCAGTCAGTGTGTGTGTTTCCTACAGATGGATCCAGTCATGGGAACCCACCAGAGAGATGTCCCCGTCCTCTGTATTCCCGGGATTTTACACAGGAAGGTCACACCATCCCTCACCATCATCAGGTAGATGGATCCAGTCATGGGAACCCACCAGAGAGATGTCCCCGTCCTTTGTATTCCCAGGATTCCACACAGGAGGATCATAACTATGCAAAACCTGATCAGGTAGATGAGGAACAATCACTGATAGTTATATTTTATAAACAAGCTTGTATGTTACAATAATTTGTTTGATATATTCAGAGTGGAAACCTGAGAGATTCTAAAGTTGAGGTTAAAGAAGAGATAAAAGAGGAGGATGATGAGGATGGAGTGATGGAGGAGTCAGAGATTTCCAAAGATCTGTACCAGGACACCGTGGTGGAGTCATCCAGCTACAGGAACCCACCAGAGAGATGTCCCCATCATCTGTATTCCTGGGATCCCACACAGGAAGGTCACACCATCCCTCACCATCATCAGGTAGGTGGAGTTGAGGGTCGGGAATCCTTCTATGTTACAGATGTTATTTTCTGCCATTCTGTTGGTTTAGGGTGAAGATCTGATAATCATAAAAGTGGAGGGTGAAGTAGAAGAGACGTATGTGAGGGATGATCAGCAATATACGGAGGAGGCTGGAATGAGGAGGACATTCATAGAGGAGGACACTCCTACACAGATCAGCACAGGTGACCAGAATATATTCTTCTCTTATTTCTGCTCTGTTACCCGCGCCCCCCCCCAACCCCCATTGGTTCCTGCTCCTCTGACAAGGCGGTGTAAATGTAGAAGTGATCTGGGAGGACCAAAGGCTCTTTGAAGAGGGGAGGAGTCCCAGCTGGTTGGGATATCCACAGAGAACATCTGCTCCCTCCTATCTCCTTGATCCAAATGGAAACTTGATGGAAGTGAACTAACCCTCTCCTATCTATTGATGATGTTTTTCTATTTTTCCAGGACCCGCCATGGAGAAACCCTCAAAGGATCGTCTCACTTTATCTCCAGGTTGTAAAATGGAAGATGAGGACATCCCAGGAGATTGCGCTGGAGAAAAGACAATGAGCTCCACTATGGATGGTGGACTTCCCAGTGTGGAGAGAACATGGAATCCCTCTGACTCTGAGCACCCTCGTACTGTGGGGGATGGGGCCGGGTTTAAGTGGGAAAATACATTTTCCTGCCCTGAATTTGGGGAACGTTTTAATTCTGAATTAAGCCTTTCTGTACATCAGAGATCTCACATGACTGAGAAGCTTCACTCCTGTACTAAGTGCGGGAAATGTTTTTTACGGAAATCAGATCTTACTGTACATCAAAGATTTCACACAGGTGAGAAGCCACATTCTTGCCTTGAGTGCGGGAAATGTTTTTCACTCAAGTCCCATCTTAATACACATTATAGGTTTCACACAGGTGAGAAGCCGTATTTCTGTCTTGAGTGCGGGAAATGTTTTCCACTCAAATCCCATCTTAATACACATCAGAGGTCTCACACGGGTGAAAAAGCCGTATTCCTGTCCTGAGTGTGGAAAATTTTTTTCAATAAAATCAAACCTTGCAAAACATCAAAGAACTCACACGGGTGAGAAGGCATTTTCCTGCCCTGAGTGCGGGAAATGTTTTTCGCAGAAAGCCCATCTTGTTACACATCAAAAGTCTCACACGGGTGAAAAGCCGCATTCTTGTCCTGAGTGCGGAAAATGTTTTACAGAAAAATCAGACCTTGTAAAACATCAAAGGACTCACACGGGTGAGAAGGCACATTTTTGTTCTGAGTGTGGGAAATATTTTTCACGGAAATCATATCTTGTTACACATCAAAGATCTCACACGGGGGAGAAGCCGTACTCTTGCTTTGAGTGCGGGAAATGTTTTTCTCTGAAGACCCATCTTAACAAACATCTGAGGTCTCACACAGGTGAGAAACCGCATTCCTGTCCTGAGTGTGGAAAATGTTTTAGAGAAAAAAAAGGCCTTGTAAAACATCAAAGAACTCACACGGGTGAGAAGGCGTATGCCTGCCCTGAGTGCGGGAAATGTTTTGCACAAAGGCACCATCTTAATACACATCAGAGGACTCACACAGGTGAGAAGCCGTATTCCTGCCCTGAGTGTGGAAAATGTTTTACACAAAAATCAGGCCTTCTACAACATCAAACAACTCATACAGGTGAGAAGGCGTATGCCTGCCCTGAGTGCGGGAAATGTTTTTCACAGAATTCCCATCTTAAAATACATCGGAGGATTCACACCGGTGAAAAGCCGTATCCCTGTCCTCAGTGCGGGAAATGTTTTCTACAGAAATCAGACCTTGTTAAACATCAAAGGTCTCACACGGGGGAGAAGCCGTATTCCTGCCCTGAGTGCGGGAAATGTTTTTCTCTCAAGTACTATTTTAACAAACACACCAGGTCTCACACAGGTGAGAAGACACATAACTTCAGTGTAGAAAATGCCCGTCATGAAAATGTTTTGTCCTCATAAATTTCTTTCTGGCTTAATCTGGCATTAATGCTGGTTGGGTCCCTCTAGCAGTGTAGTCTGATCTCCCCTGACCTTCAGCAGAAGCTTCCATGGAGGACATCATAGTGAGAGAGAAGGAGGGTGGTCACTGCTGGTTGGGTCCTTCTAGCAGTGTAGTCTGATCTCCCCTGACCTTCAGCAGAAGCTTCCATGGAAGACATCATGGTGAGAGAGAAGGAGGATGGTCACTGCTTGTTGGTTCCTTCTAGCAGTGTAGTCTGATCTTCCCTGAACTTCAGCAGAAGATTCCATGGAGGACATCATGGTGAGAGAGAAAGAGGGGGGGTCACTGCTGGTTGGGTCCCTCTAGCAGTGGAGTCTGATCTCCCCTGACCTTCAGCAGAAGCTTCCATGGAGGACATCATGGTGAGAGAGAAGGAGGTATGGGTCACTGCTGGCTGGGTCCCTCTAGCAGTGTAGTCTGATCTCCCCTGACCTTCAGCAGAAGCTTTCATGGAGGACATCATGGTGAGAGAGAAGGGGGGGGGGGGTTCACTGCTGGTTGGGTCCCTCTAGCAGTGTAGTCTGATCTCCCCTGACCTTCAGCAGAAGCTTCCATGGAAGACATCATGGAGAGAGAGAAGGAGGGGGGTGGCACTGCTGGTTGGGTCTCTCTAGCAGTGTAGTCTGATCTCTCCTGACCTTCAGCAGAAGCTTCCATGGAGGACATCATGGTGAGAGAGAAACTAGATATGGGGGAGAAGGGGAGACTAACAGAGTCTGTACAGTAGTCATCAGCCTGCGCAGGCAGCTTCATTTGCTTTGAGAGTGCCACCTGCTGGCTGATAGTGGAAAATATGACATTTCCAGATGTAACATTTCATATGTAGCTGATAAAAATGCAAATATAACTCTAATCTTGTGTCTTAGTCGTTTTTTTTTTATCAGCATGTATTTGTTGGAACAGCCGACTCTCCCCCTTCTCATGGACCTCAGGACATCTGTAGTATACTCCAATGATAAGTCCAACAGTCCATAGACCCATCTATCATTCCTCCCGTAATTCCTCCTCCGCACCATCACCTTGTTGGAACAGCCGACTCTCCCCCTTCTCATAGACCTCAGGACGTCTGTAGTATACTCCAATGATAAGTCCATCAGTCCATAGACCCATCTATCATTCCTCCCGTAATTCCTCCTCCGTACCATCACCTTGTTGGAACAGCCGACTCTCCCCTTCTCATAGACCTCAGGACGTCTGTAGTATACTCCAATGATAAGTCCATCAGTCCATAGACCCATCTATCATTCCTCCCGTAATTCCTCCTCCGCACCATCACCACTTCCAACCAAAAGATCATTCTTCTCTTCCCTTTTCCTCTTTTCTCCTTTTCCTTCTCCATATTGCAACACTACAAGTACGGCCCATCCTGTAGGTTTTAGTCTCCATCTTGTGTCTTAGTAGTTTGGTGTTCCCAGCTTGTCCTTGTTGGAACAGCCGACTCTCCCCCTTCTCATAGACCCTCAGGACGTCTGTAGTATACTCCAATGATAAGTCCATCAGTCCATAGACCCATCTATCATTCCTCCCGTAATTCCTCCTCCACATCATCACCACCTGCAACCTCAAAATATTTTTGCTTTTTCCCTTTTCAGGTCTCTAATACTTGAAGTAAACCCAAGAAAACAAATCAATTTTCTCTAACAATCTGTGTTTATTGAGTAAGATTGCTGTGTATACAAACTCTTTACATATTAGAGTACTATACATATGCATACATACACACATTCAAATGCCTGGCAGCACTGGGGTTTGAATCCCAACTATGGCACCACCGGCCTGGATTTTTCATGTTCTCCCTGTGCCTGCGTGGGTTTCCTCTGGTTACTCTGTTTTCCTCCTACACTCCAAAGATATGCTGGTAGGTTAATTGGCTGCAATAGGAAGAAGGGTCAGCCGCACACCGGAGGATAGATGAATATAGTGTGTATTTATTGATCCATAGGACACACAAAACACCAGGACATGAATACGGGACCTGCTAACGCGTTTCATACCATCTCACGCTTCATCATAACAAAAAAAAACAACAAAAGTGCCATCTTATGCAGGCCACAGACAGGTCGTTTATCGGCCGAATTGTAGGCCGAAAAACGAAAAATCAGTCGTTGCCACCAATGCTTATGAAAAACAGCCATTTTTCGTAGATTTTCCAGCATGACCGATAAAAGAAACGAGAAGGAACCGCGAAAATCGGCTGACGACATTGCCCCACTAACGGTGAAAATATCAGCTGATTATTCTTTTGGACGAAAATTCGGCTGATAAACGACCCGTCTATGGCCTGCATTATATAGGTATTAGTTAATAAAGAACACTCGTCCTAATCAGCACTTCTGAATCCTGAGGGTACGCCTACCAATACATTGTAACAAGACATATAAAACCATCATATCAAAAGTAGCGATCTCAGAGAACTACAAGAAAGGAAGAAAAGAAAAAAGGAAAGTGAAGTGGAATAAAAAGGAAAAACAAAGAAAGAGAAAAAGAATAATAGATAAAAATAATGGTGAAAAAATAATTATGAAAAAATTATAAAATGAAAAAATAGAATAACAAACACAGATAAAAGTGAGTAAATATCCCAAGAAGATATGGGCTAAGATGCTGAAATGATCGATTTTCTTTATCCCCTCTGAGACCCCCAATCTGTGGAGAGATGCCTGGTTTATCAGTAGAATTCTGGGAACACCCCATGAACACGGACATAATGGCAGCTTATGTTCAAAGATGCTCAAAGTTTATTAGACATTACTTGGGTTATATAGAGTACAGAACAGAATTAAAAAGGCAGGGGAGGAGCGAGTTTTAAAACCGCAACTTTGTAAGTTTCCATTATGAGCTGACTACATGAAACATGACATATACTTTTCTTGGTATAAACTGTTTCTGCTAGCTTTCTGAGAATCGGCTGGACACAAAAAGCTCAGGATCATCTTATCCTTGAGCAAGCTGAAACAGTTTCATTAAACTTCCAATATATCTGCAAAAAGCTAACTTAATACTTAAAATGTCTTACATCAACAAAATGCCACATTTGTAAATAATCGAAATTTAAATATAAATATATGCAAAAAACGCATAAAAAAAACAAAAACATGTCTACTTGGGATAAAATACAAAAAAAAAAAATCACAAAAAACCATACATATCAAAACAGCAGAAAAATAAATAAATCAATAAATATATATCAAAAGTAATGTGTCGAAAAACAACGCATCAAAAAACAAAAAGAACGCATAAAAAAAAAAAAAAAAAAGGAAAATCCCAAAGGGAAAAGAGAGAGATGGTATTAAAGATGTGTGTGCACATGAATGTTAATTGGCTCCTGTCTAAATTGTCCTTAGTATGTGTATGTATGAATGGGAGTTAGGGACCTTAGAATGTACTCCCCTCGGGGGCGGGGACTGATGTGAGCTTACTATATATATGTAAAGCTCTGTGTAAATTGATGGCGCTATATAAGTACCTGAAATAAATAAATAAATTCAAATGCTATCTATCCTCTCCTAGCTGAAGAAAATAATGACAGTAACAACAATCTCTGCAATATGGAAACACTAAAAGTCACTTAACCTCTGTTCAAGGTGATCCACGATTTCCTTCATGAACAGGACTCCCAGCATGAAGCGATCGCAGGAAAACTGGTTCTCGATCTTGGCAGTCTCCCTCTAAATCTTATAATGGAGCTTTCATGTTATCTGAGGGTAGAGTTGGCCTTTTTGGTTTGTGTTGCTACTGTAGCCCCATCCAGGAGCTTTCTGCAGGTAGGGGGTTGGAGCCTGCTGGGTCCCTCCCACAGCTCTGTGTACAGTATGATGTATGGGAAGAGTGTTGAGTAACCATGTGTAATCAGGGGCGGACTGACAACTCATGGGGCCCCTGGGCAATATGGGATCATGGGGCCCATGCTTCCTTACCCACACTCAAACCACACCCAAAAAAGCCTATGAAAGGTACCAGGGGCATCGCATGGGGCCCCCTTCTTACCCCGGGCCCTCGAGCAGTGCCCGAGTTCCCGAATGGTCAGTCCGCCCCTGTCCGTAATACACTTTCTTGCTTAAAATTCGGTAAAATTAGTCACATTTAAACGTCCAGTTGGGCTGAAAAGTTTGCCCTCCCCTTGGAGAATTGGTAGTACACAGGATGTACCATTTTTAACCCCTAGCATGCAAATATGTTGCCTCTCGGCGTCTGGGCCTTGACGCCATATTTGCGCACCATTTGAAAATATATATGTGCTGAGAGCGCGCACCCTTCACGCTCCAAGCACATATATCCGTGACTCACGGAAAGGTCCCGATCTCCCCTTGCGATCGGGACCTTCTCCGATCATGTGACAGCGAATCACGGTCGTCACATGACCCTAAAACCCTGCATCGTCTTCTCAAACTCTTAAAGGGCCGGGAGGCGCCAGCGCAAAGGGGTTAAAGGAAACAAGAGTGAGCCGGCAAACCCCATTCCTATGAAATTCATATTCTGTAACTGGAGGTCATAACAGAATGGGCCAATCATAAAACACAACATGGCAAAATGTAAACCAATGAAATGCCCCCCTGTTCAGAAGTCTGCCCCCTCTTGGATCTTTATCCTTAGTATCGCTCCCTTTAGCATCAATGACAGCATGCCATCTTCTGTAATAGTTG